TGTAGAAGGTTGCCTCGCTTTTCGCCGAACTGAATTGTGGGTAGCAGAGCGGAGCTTTCCTGGCGTTTCAGGCTGCAAAAGTTGAACAATGTTCAACTTCTGAAGCCGGAGACGCCGGAGTAGCCAGCGTCAGCCAATCAAATCCCGTTTATGCAAATCTGACAGTTCAAGCGCTAGCCAATCAAACCGCGTGCAAGCTGGGAGAGCTCATATCCCAAACGAGAAATTACGGTAGCAAATCACCCGGTTCTTTACGACCAGAACTATTTACTGGGATACAAACCGGAGGAACCAGGCATGGAGGGAGGTGGCAGAGACAGTGGGTGAAACTGGTAGGTTTTCGCCTGTTTGGGGAGTTTATATATATATATATATATTGCTCGCATAAAATCCCCGGGGTTTTTTGCTTTGTATGCCGGGGGCGGGACATTCATGTGATTGGTTGTTCGTGCTCGAATAAAATCCCCAAGCTTCAGACACGCCCAGCTCCAAGCTTTTTTTGAAGCTATAGTGTGGACGGGCCGTGAGTCCGTCCACTCAGGATTCAAAGCTCTGTTCTCACTGTCCACGTTCCTCTTCTTGGAGAGCACCATGTGTAATTATTTGTCTCTCCCTGTCTGCCGCTAACACGCCTGTTCACTCTCCTCTCCGCTTCTCTCCCTGTATCGCTAATTAGTCTCTTCAATTACTTTTCTCTCTGCTGCGCTCTCATCTTTTCTTCTGTGTTTCTCTCCCTGTATCGCTCACTCGTCTCTTTTGCCCGCTGTTGGCAGCGGTTAAAATAGAATCGCCCCATCAAAATTGAAATCCCCTATTAATGTATTGATTATAGGTCCGGGTCCGTATAGGTCGGCGTCTGGGACGGAGCCGGACCGCGGTCCGCCTGTTGCCGACCCTTGCAATACATGTTTAAATGGCATACTGCAGTGCGAATATGAACAGCTGTTGAATTGTTTAAATCGGCCGTCGGCTTGACTAGCAAAGTGAACGTGGTAGGTGTAGAAACCTGAGCCATAAGGTTCAGGCCATGTCTAGCGCTATGTAGAAGTGTTCCTCTAACTCGGTTCTGCGTGTGGGATAAACTGAGCAGATGACGTCTCGTTAGAGGGAAAATTCTGCAGGGGTTAAGTCCTTATACCTCAGAGGTGATGGGTTACGAAGCTGGACTAAACCGAGGCTGGTCTGAATCGCGGTCTCTGAGAGAATAGAGACTGGCAGTTGCCGGATGTTTGGCCGGATATAAATAGAGTTGGCCGTGATTAGAGGTGGGGTTGAGGCGTGGCCATACTCCTGAACCTAGGTTAACAAATTAACTTCATTTCACCCCGAAAAGGTCCAACTAGCTCATCTTTAATAATACCGGCCCATACCAGAACCCAGCCTCCACCTTTTTGGCATCTGAGTTGACGTGGAGCTCTGGGCCCGGTACTGATCCAGCCACGGGCCCATCCATCTGGTCCATCAAGAGTCAACCTCAGTTCATCAGTCCAGAAAACCTTTGAAAAATCTGTCTTAAGATATTTCTTGGCCCAGTCTTGATGTTTTAACTCATGTGTCTTGTTCAGTGGGGGTTTCAGCCTTCCTCACCTTGGCCATGTCTCTGAATACCTGAGACTTCTGGGCCCTCCAGGTAGCTCACAGTTCTGGAATATGACAGCACTGGAGGATAAGGGCTTCCTTGTGGCTTCACGTTTGACTCTTTTCAGATCTTTGGCAGTTAATTTGAGTCTTTTTGTCTCAACACGTTTCTTGCGACCCTGTTGACTATTTGCAACTAAACTTTGATGGTTCTGTAATCACAATATCTTAGCAATTTCAAGAGTGCTGCATCCCTCTTAAAGGTTTTTAAAATGATTGACTTTTCAAATGTCAGTTAAATCTCTTTTTTGGCCCATTTTGCCTGAGGAAAAGAAGCTGCCTAATAATTATGCACACCTTCATGTAGGGTGTTGACATCCTTAGGCCACACCCTCCCTCATTACACAAATACACATCACCTGATGTGTTTGAATCCAATAGGCATTCAAGTTTTTACAGCATGGAGTTGGAAAATATGCATACAAATTATGATATGGTCAAGATACTCGCCTAATAATTGTGCACACAGTGGACTGTGTGTGTGTGTGTAGTCTGTTCTGACGCAAGACATACGTCAGTTTTCCCCGGATAAATGTTTTTGACCTATGAACACTTACAAACATCGGGTATCGGGTCAACTCCATGGGTATAGTTGCATTTCACAAACTCTAAGGAGAATAGATTAAACACTCAAAAAGATGCTCGTTAGATCAAAAACTTTGATCCAAAAGTGTATTGCTGTAGGAGCGGACCGGAGAGATTCTCTGGGACTTTTTCTTTCTGAGGAAAATAATATTTGCAGTTGTACAAATTCCATTTAGCAAGTACTTTTATAGAAATTTCTCATATATTTTCACGAAAGCCCAAATAACCATCTTGTAACCCAACTATATATAAGCACCCAAATTGGGGGACCTCTACACGTTTGGAATCAGTGTTGATTGTGTGTCTTAGTGTTCTGAACAGTTTGCCATATCTTTGTTGTCAGGTGGAAAATGAATGGCAATCATTGGTGGCCCTAAAGCAGGATGTAGCTGTGACAGTACTGAGCCTATACCTTGGTAAACAAGCTGCTCAGACCAAGGTGGAGACAGCCTTGGAAACAGAGAAGCTTCTACAGCACGAGCTGATCAGACTACGCCTCAAAAACATCAAGCTAAGGGCCAACATTCACAGACTGGAGGGGGAACTTTGTGCAAGGGAAAAAGATGCTGGGGACCCCCTCCTTCTCCACTTTGATCTGCTGCAGGCTGAGAGGCTAGAGCTGAAAAAACACACTGAAAAGCAAAATGAGGAATCTTTAAAGACGCAACTAAAGATCAGCAGCAGCTTGGAGGTAAGTAGAAAAATCCGGGTACAGATTGCGTAATTTCTGTATTTGTTTCACAACATATGATTTCCAGAAATAGGTAACCCTAACCCTAACATTGTTTTTTCTTCTGCTCTATCAGCTACTGTCAAATATAAAGGAGAAATTGTTCTGGAGTCAAATGGAGGCCCAGGCCAAGCGAGAGCAGCTTGCAATGTTGGAAGCAATGGTGGCCAGGGGAACGGACTTCCTCACAAGGACTAGGCACGCTCGCAACAGCCTTCGTAGAGACAACCTGCGGCTGAGAGAGCATCGTGGACTGCTGGGAAACAGGGTCCTGCTGCTGGACTTTGAGGACACTGTGGACGCCTCTGACTACATGGAGGATCAACTAAGGGATCTGAAGTGCCGGCAAGCTGAGATTGTCTTCAGTTGTGGCAGATGGAAGAAGAAGTTGAGACCACCTAATTAATTAATGAATAACTAATGATCACACAACACAATATCAGCCCAAAAAAAGCCAGATTTAAACAGCTGAGCAGGAGCACTCTGACCAGGTGGACATTGATTTTCTGCTATATGCAAAAGTGGAAGGCTTAAGAACAAATAAGCTATGAAAAAAGATAACTCAAAAGTCCACAAGAAAACAATTATTTGAAAACAATTGTTATTTTTGTATATAATGACTATATTGGACAATACAATGGTTAACAGAGAGTTAAGCCCAAAACATCAGATGTTAATAAAGAACAGGTATTTTTTTTTATTACAAAAAAATTGCATACATTATTTATTCACCCTCTTCAGCACAACATTCTCTATGTTGACCTGTAGCAGGTCAGGACCCTCTCTATGGTGCACCTGTAGAAGGTCAGGATGCTCTCTCTGTTGCACCTGTAGAAGGTCAGGACCCTTTCTATGGTGCACCTGTAGGTCAGGATGCTCTCTATGGTGCACCCGTAGGTCAGGATGCTCTCTATGGTGCACCTGTAGAAGGTCAGGATCCTCTCTATGGTGCACCTGTAGAAGGTCAGGATCCTCTCTATGGTGCACATGTAGAAGGTCAGGATGCTCTCTATGGTGCACCTGTAGAAGGTCAGGATGCTCTCTATGGTGCACCTGTAGAAGGTCAGGATGCTCTCTATGGTGCACCTGTAGAAGGTCAGGATCCTCTCTATGGTGCACCAGTAGAAGGTCAGGATGCTCTCTATGGTGCACCTGTAGAAGGTCAGGATGCTCTCTATGCAGGGGTGGATCTAGACAAATATTCATAGGGTGGCAAGAGGGTGGCAGGAGATTTTGAGGGGTGGCATCCCCTGGCAGAAGTATATGCTGATTTAATCACAGTCATATGTCAATGTTAACTTGGAAAGCCACAATATTTATATTTTAACTCAATAACATAGGTGACATTATTGTGGCACATCAGGAACGCCTTACATATAAATATATAAGGTGGCAGACGTAATTTGATGAATTTTAACTGAACAATAACTGAATGAGTTTGTTTCACTCTTAGACCAGCAGGGGTACCAAATCTATGCAGACTGCAATAAGTACATTAATTAACTGTCTCATCGATGTTTGTCTGTATGAATATGATACTATTAACAATCATATTATTCCTATCAGCTGTCAATCA